TTGACCTTATGTTTGTATAAATAGATCAGTTCTAGAAAGGTTTCTAGCATATTATAAATTTATATATGGTGGAAATATATTATTTTTTCGTCTAGAAAACTTTTTTGATAAATACTAAGTCTAACTTTTGATTTACAAAATCTAACCTCTAATCAGAAATCTAACCTCTAGTATATTTTTTTATCCTAGTATTTTGCGAAGATTTAGCTCTAGAATGGTTTCCTGTGTATCAGAAAAACTAAGTATACAAGAAATAATTCCTTAGCTCTTAGAACCGTAACTTGATAACAGCTAAGTCTAACCTCTTCGAGGTTAGATTTAGCATTTTGGTATCTAGAGATTAGACTTTAAGATTTTTGGTTAGACTTAGTGACCTTTTATTTATGATCATGAATCAACTTTAGAATTAATTCTAGAATATCATAAATAATAGTATACATAAAAGGTTTGTAGAGACTCCACAAGCTTAGCTTTGAATCTTCAATTCTTGCTAATCTCACATCACCTTGAACTTAAACAGAATAGTATATTTTTTTTGATATATTATTTGGGATTAAAATTGGGCTAGAAAGGCTATAAGAGATTGTTTTATTCTTGGTATCATGCGGGGTAATTTAATGTCAAATTGATACCAAATATTTGGATAACGAGAAAAGCTTAAATTTGAGCTAAAGCTTTAAATTTAATAGAGGATTTGTATAGCTAGAAGGCTTTAAAAATATGATTGAGAACTATTTCTGAATATAATTTCGAATTCTGATCTCAGAACTCTCATTTTTGCTCTATTGATGCTAATATTTTTTCTGATAATTTTTCTTAATCATGTATTTAAAAAAAAGAAAAACATATTATAAAGATGAGCTTAAAATTTATTTTATAGAATTACTTGTATTAAATAAAACAGATATTTTATTATGGTAGAAAGTATATATAATATTTAAATATTTATTATAATAATATATTCTTATATTTAATTAATTTATTAATTTATTAATTTATAAATATTATTAAAAGGTTTATATAAATGAATATTCAAATTTTTCAAAAATAGCTAATTATTTTAGATTAATATAAATATTAATTGTATTATTTTATAATTTATAATTACTCATAAAAATTTTATTATTTTTTTAGTTACAAATGTATCAATAAAAAGAATATTTTCAAATAAAATAGATTCGATAGTTCAGAAAAGATGTAATTTAAAAGGTAAAATAATAAATACATATATTTTAAAGGATAGTTAAATTCAGATTTAATTAATTAAAGATTATTATAAAAAAAGAAAATTATTTTATTTTTAAAAAAATAATTTGGTTTAGTTTTTTATTTTTATATAAATAGATTAAAAAAACTTAGTATTTTTAAGTTTTATAAAAATTTTATATCTACTTTTATTTTTTTTTAAAAAATTTTTTAACTTTTTGTAATTATTCTATTTATAAATTAAAAATAAAGATAATTTATTTATTAATATAAATTTAGTAATATAATATTAATAAAATTAAATATTTTTCACTAGAATAAAGAAAATAATGTTAAGTATAATTTTTTAAGAAAATCATTTAAAAGTAAAATTCTTTAAGAAAATCACTCTGAAAGCAAAATTCTTTAAGAAAATCGCTCTAAAAGCAAAATTCTTTAAAGAAATCATTTCAAAAGTGAAATCCTTCAAGAAAAATTGCTCTAAAAGGAAAATCCTTCAAGGAAATTATTCTGAAAGTGAAATCTTTAATGAAAATTATTCTGAAAATAAATTCTTTTAAAGAAATTACTTTAGAAGTAAATTCTTTTAAAGAAATTTAATTTCAGGTGAATTTTTCTTTAAAAAAATATTATTAGATATTTCTTTTTAAAGAAAATATTACTGAATTCATTTTCTTCAAAAAAATGTTATTAAATTCATTTTTTTTCAAAGAAAATGTCATTTAATATATTTTTTTAAAGAAAACATTACTGAAACTATTTTTTTTAAGTAAATACTATCAGAGTAGCTTTTCTTTAAAGAAAAACTACCTTTAGATTTATTTTGTTAAAGAAGAAAATACAGTCTAACAAGTCAAGTTATAGCATGAATCAAGTTATGGTATAAGCTGACTTATCTGATTTATAGCTTATTTATAGTAGCTCAAGCTAAGCCTAAATAAGTCAGCTCGTTTGGCTTACAAGCAGTTTGACTTATGTAGAGTTTTAATTCTTTTTTATAATTATTAAAGATTTACAGACTTGTATTTATCTTTTTTTCTTTTTAAAATATAATAAATATCAAAATATTTATTCTAATTATTTAATATTTAAATAAATTATTAGTTTTAATAATTGTATTATTTTTTATTTATAAAATTTTTTTTTAATTAATTATTTTTTATTTATATTGCTTCTAATTTTGTAAAATTAAAACATTAACTAAATACTAATAAATTTTTTTGAATTTAATAATAAAAAAGTAAGATAATTAATGAATATTTATACTTTTATTTTAAAAATTTTAAAAAAACTAATAGAAGAGCTTATATTTATTCTGAATGTTATTGATTTCATTGAAAGCTAAAAAATGTATACTATATAGTAAATGTAATAAGCTAACCATTTTACTTATAGGTGATATTATTATATATTAAAAGGTATTATATCATCTAGTATTATAATATATTATAAATATTACACAAAAAAAGACTTAAATGATAAAAATTAAAAATATGATAACTATCTAAAATAACAAATAATTATTATAATTAAGTAATTAGAATATTTTTAATTAATTATAATAAAGAAAAATTTAGGATAATTTTTATTAAACTTATTTTGTTAAACTTATTTTATTTTAAATTCTTAAATTCCTATTTAATGAACTAAAACTTACTGAAATTATTTCTAATATAATATTTTTGTTAGATTTATTAAATATAATAAAAAAAAATCATTTTTAAAAGCTTTTTTAATAAATAAAAAAATTGATATAATTTTTAAATTTGAGAGATTTTTATATATGTAAGGATTTTATTTTAAAATCTTTAAACATATATTATATATAAAAAAGTTATAATATTAGTTATACTTAATATTTTAATTTTTTTAATCCTATCATATTAAAATTAAATTAATTGATTTTTAAAATTTAAATTAATATTTTTAATTTTTATTTTATTAAAAATAAATTAAATATATTATTATTTTATTTGCAATTTTAAATTTCTTATATATAAACAATTAATTTATATTTTAAATATAATTTTATTTTTTAACTTTAAAATAATATATATAGCTTAATTTTTGTTTTATTGAGAAGATAAATTAACAAATTTTTGCTTTAAAGTTTTGTTTTTAATTATTTATTTAAAATTAATATTTTTATAATTTGAATAATTTTTAAATTTAATAATTATAATAAAATTTTTCATTTTTATTAGTTAATTATAAATCATATGATATAAAATTTATGCAAAAATTTAAATATAATCATGTGATATTGAGTATAATTTACAAATATTATTAATCTAGAATAAGGTAGTTTTATTAGTTCAATTTATTTGTATAATATATTTCTTAGAATTTTCAAAATATTTTAAAGAAAAAGTATGAAGAAAAATATTTCTCACAAATTTTTTTATTTTAGAAAATTTATTATTGAATAAAATATATAATTTATTATTTTTTTTAAAGAAGTAAATAAAGTGAGTTGTAAAAAAAAATTAAACAAATAATCTCTTATTTAAATATCAGATTTTATTATATATTCCAGTTTAGGATAAAGGCTTATATCCTATTTAGGTTAAGGATACTCATAATTTATATATATAATTTTTGTTTTATATTAGATTAATTCAATTTTAATCATTCAAATTTTTGATTAGCTAATAAAATTATATAATATGATTAGTAAATCAATATCTTTAAAAAAAGAAAATTAACATGAATCAAATACAAATTAAAGAGAAATTTTTCTACTAATATATTAATATAATTTTTATAGATTTTCAAATAAAATAATTACATCTTCATACTTACTTTTACCTAAACCAGTTTTATATAATAGTAGCAATAACAAACAAGTTCTCAACATATTCTTTTTTAATAACAAAATTTTTTTTTTAACAGTAATATATTTTTTTCTAACAGCTGTATAATCTTCAATTATATACTTTTCTTTATTTTACTTTAGTAGCAAAATTTGAATCTAAATCAGCTTGAAATAGATCAAGTATACATTTTAAGATATTAGTTTAAAGGGATAAAGATAAAGATAAAGGTTATAAAATAAATTAAGATTCTTCTGATGAAAAGTTTGAAAATAAATGTGAATAAAATAAAGTTAAGATTATTTTAAAAAATTATTCTTTTTGGTTTAAAAAAAATAAATTAAAATTTTATAATAAATATGACAAAAAATGTTTTACTTAATAAAGAAGCAAATGCAATTAAAAGTAAATTTTTTATATTGATTATAGTATATTAAATTATTAATATTTTAATTTTTTTTACATTTAAGATAAATTTAATTAATAAAGAAGTATGAATTTATAAAAAGATATAATAATTAAATTGGAAATAAACAAAAGGATTGGTATTAGTATAATAAAATGGATATGATCTTTAGAATATATGAAAATATAATCCTTTTATTTTTAACAAATAAGGAAACAGATATTATTGAAAAAGAGGCTGTTAAAATTAATAAGAAAAGCAAAAAAAAAATTTTAAAAACAATGTTGATGCTATATTTATAGCAATAGCTGAATGAATCAAATATGTAAAAGAATCTGAAAAATAAAATGTTATTAAAAAATGATTAATTGGAAGTTAAAAGGAAAGGTGAGCAAATGAAGAAAAAGGTCAAGAATGTAATTTGAGTAAAATGAAAGAATTAGAATTGAAATTACAAAGAAAAAATTTTAATCTTTATAAAATATTTGATTCAAGTAATAAGAATCTAATAAAGAACATAATCCAAGAAGTTTAGCTTTTTCTTCTTCTTTTTAACTTCAAGTTCTTCTTCAGAATCATTTGACTCTCCGTCAGAATCCTCAAAAATCTGGCTTGATTTAATAAAATTTACCAGTAATTAATTTTCAATATTTTGTTGATATTATAGATAAATTAAAAGTTGTTTTACGGCGATCAAATCTGATTTTGATCGCATGATCGGATTGGTTAACGGATTTTGCGATCAAAAAATCCGACTAGGGTTAATTTAATAATATAACTGTAAAAAAAAAAAAATTTTTTTGATTGGTCGATTAAAATCTGGTCTGTCACACACGAACCAACTTTTTGGGCGGCGTTACCGAAAAATTAAAAACCTTTTTACATTTACACGTTACATGATATATATCTTTCATGAGATCAGATAAAGTCTCGGTTTAAAGATTCGATATTTATAATGATGTCTCTCTATTAAATAAATGCATACATTACATTTTAAATAACAAGTACAAACTATCTTTTTTATTGCTTTTATTGATTTGCATATAATAATTAATAATAACAATTTCTAATGATTAAAAAAAAAAAAAATTACAAATAAAGTCCTTCTGGTGTGCCTTCTGTTTTACGGTAAAGAACTTTTTCACGCGCTTTTCTAAAATCTTCAGCAATCACTTTCATACGCCTTTCACGAAGTGCCAATAAACCTGATTCGGTACAAATAGCCTTTGAAAGAAAAAAAGTGAATGGTGTTAACTCTAAATCTAAAGGTAAACTTGATACTTGTTTAATACATTACCTTTATATCAGCTCCACTCAAATCATCCTTTGACATTACAAATTCTTCAAGATCTACATCCTCTGCCAAAGTCATTCTACTGGTATGAATATTGAAGATACGCCGTTTGGTTTTCACATCTGGTAATGGAAACTCAATCTTACGATCAATACGACCCGGACGAATTAATGCCGGATCGAGTGATTCAATACGATTTGTTGCCATAACAACCTAAATTATATTAATTCTTAGATAAACCTTTACGTTATGCGTTGATTGATTCAAAAAATTATTATATAACTTTATTACTTTAACATCTCCTCGAGAATCAAACCCATCCAATTGATTTAAAAGCTCCAACATAGTTCGTTGGATTTCTCTCTCCCCACCAGAATTTGATTCATAACTGATAACATCCATGATTATTAGTAAATGAAGAAATCATCAACTGTCAAACGAATAAAATTGAATTATAATCATACCGCTTTGTTCCAATCGCATCAATTTCATCAATAAAAACAATTGAAGGTGCGTGTTCTTCTGCGACACGGAACAATTCACGCACAAGTTTTGGCCCATCTCCAAGGTATTTTTGAATTAACTCCGATCCGACAACACGTAAAAACGTTGCTGATGTTTGATTAGCCACAGCTTTGGCTAACAGCGTCTTTCCTATTTAATGAATACATAATTTTAAATAACTTATTTGTGAACTAATAATATTTAATATTAAAAATTATTTTTACCTGTTCCCGGAACACCGTATAAAATAACACCCTTTGGAGGTTTAATACCCATTTCTTCATATAATTCTGGATGTGTTAACGGCAATTCTACAGATTCTTTAATTTCTTGAATTTGTTGTTCTAAACCCCCAATATCAGCATATGATTCGGTAGGTGCTTTTTCAAGTTTCATTACACTGACCATTGGGTCTGTATCGTCCTGAAGTACACCGACAACGGACATGGCCTACAATAAAAGCAAATTATAAAAATTATGATAAAACGATAGAGTAATTGATTCTAAAATAAAAAAAAAAGAAAAAAAAAAAAAACCTTGTGATGTAGTAAAATTGAACAACCAGGCTCTAATAAATCTTTATCTACAAAAGATAAAATGCTAACATAATACTCTGGTCCTGTAGATGACGAAACAATCGCGTGGTCATCATCAATAATTTCTTCAAGAGTACCAACGCCCATGGGCGATCCGCGTAAATCGTCTACTCGAGTTCTTTCTTCCTGTAATTAAAAAAAAAAAAAAATTTAAACGGATCAATTAATTATTTTTGTAAATAATTAAATAAATCTGGTTAATTGAAATGCATACCTGTGCCTTCTCTTCTTGGGGCTTTAATTGTTCCTGATTTTGAACGAATTCTTCTTCCATCAACAAATAATCTTTTATCCGTTCCATTTTTAAAAGCTTCAACCGACATCGTGTTGTAGGAAAAACTAAGTTAAAAAATTTCGTACATTAAATAATTTTGTAAAAATAAATAAATTATATTCAAATGTACATTATTACTACCTGCTGGTAATTTAGAAGTTGCGTCAGGTCCTCTCTTCTTTTTCTTCCCAACGCGAGTAGGGAGAGGTGGTTCCCATTTTTTTTTCTTGTCTTTATCCTAGAATAATTGTTATTGGCCACCTTTGAGCGTAAAAGAGCGTATTAATTGAAAAAATACAAAACCTTGTCATCTTTATGTTTGTCATCATTAGGGCCACCAAATGGAGGAAGACCTCCACCAGATTGAGTATTTCCCTACAATTTATACAATTAATATAGTCAATTTATAAATAATAATTTAACGAGAAAAGTTACTTGTTGAGAGATCTAAATTTACCATTTCTGTTTTGAATAATAAAAAAAGATCTGATTAAAATATTTAATAAATCTGAATTATTTATATAAAGATAAGGTTGCGTAATCGCCTATTACGTAACATGTAATGCATATATAAAAATCACATGAGTGGAACGTCTCGTGATTCGTTTAAAAATTGGTATATACTGTATATATATATATATATATATATTTTTATTATTAACATTAAATTGATTAAAGAAATTTAAATACAATTAAATGGAAGCTAATGTAACTTTCCTATATTCCCAATAATTTTTTCGAATGGTATCATGCTTTTCTGCTAAAGTTATGCAAATTTTGATCCCTTCTGCTTTATCCGTAGCAGAACCATTTCGTGCTCGACTTTCATGGATATCTACAAGACATCCAAGTGCATGAGGGGATATAATTTTTTGTTCTTCAACCTCTTTGCATAATCCTTCTAAAATATCAATATCCTTGTCAGACTTTGCAATAACTCTACATAATAATCATAAAACCACATTATTTTTAAAAAAGAGAAAATTTTGTTAAACGTTATATAAAGTATATATACCCTTTGATATAATTCCACGGGCTTATATTATTTGGAGCCAGCTTTATCTTTTCAATAACATAACTGAAAACAAATAATGTATCAAAACTTTTATAAACTACGATTAAGGTTTCTTATCATTGTCACTTACTTAATTTCTTGAGCAAGAAAATCATCAGTAGGTTTATTCGGATTGAAAAAAATCGCAAAATATCTTTGATTCCAAGCAGAGTTATTTCGAACATCTTTATCCAAATATTTATCAATAAATTCGAGTTCACCTTCCCATAAATTAAAAGTTTTTATAACCCATTGTCTATAAGTCCATGCATGATAATTTTTTGCATCATCATTCAAAACATTATTAATGAATGGTAATTCGCGAGATACATCCATAAGTTTTTCCACTATAATTTGCCGATGATGCCTTGAAAATGAAATCTTGATAAATAATTGCGACGCATAATAAAAAATGGTGTGAATTAACCTTACCAAAGTTGATAATTCTTCGGGTTATATTTTATTTGTTCGTCTACAAAATCCAATTCCTCATAAAGATTTTTATTCAAAAAGAATAAAATTTGTTGACGATAACGCCTGCACAAAATATTGTGAATGAATCGATCAAATATTTAAAGAACGCGTTAATAAATGTAAATTCTGCTCACCAGATAGTATAATGAGCAGGGTTATGTTCGATAATTTGTTCAGTTAAATCTAAGGCTCTTTCACTACGCTCGTCTTTTTGAGCAACGGCGCGAAAGTAACCCATAGCTTTGGCGTCTTTTAAAAAAACATTTTGATTATTATTAATTGACTACTACTTACTTATATAAAAACAAACATACATTCAGGGTTATATGCAATTGGCGCTAACGGGTCAGGCCCATCGTCCTGAGGAATGGGAGTAATATCGTTCCAGACTTCTGCTTCTAATGTCATTTTAAGTAAGTAGTGTTTTAAAGAACTTTGAAGATTGTGATGATCATATGTTTGAGTTCAAAGAGCACGTGAGGAACTCCGCGGGGACCACAAACCTGATTGATAATCCGTAATCTGCTGTGCTTTGATGCTACGTCATATGCACGAATTAGATAAAATGAAACACACACAGATGCCGAGTTATATATATGAATAAATTTGAATCTTCTGAAAACAATATATTTCTCGTTCATTATTTTCACTATTTCACAATTTTATTTAAATTTTTTTAGATTTTATTTTAAAACTTTGCTTAATTCATAATGGCGTCTATATTGAAATCGTTTTTGGATTGGCTCAGAAGTTTATTTTTTAAGGTATTTTTGGTCTCTTTTTTATTATTATTATTATTATTTTATATCCAACTTCATACTTGGAAGAGAATATTAAACATTTCATTCTAACATTATCGTTATTATTAAAGACGGAACTAGAGCTTACTCTGGTTGGTTTGCAGAACAGTGGTAAAACTACATTGGTCAACGTTATTGCGGTAAGTTTAAATGCAGTTTTTATTCAATAGAATTTCTTATTGAAAAATTTTCTACAATAGTCTGGTCAATTCAGTGAGGACATGATTCCAACAGTAGGTTTTAACATGCGTAAAGTCACGAAAGGAAATGTCACCATGAAGTTATGGGACATTGGTGGGCAACCACGCTTCCGAAGTATGTGGGAACGATATTGTCGTGGTGTAAACGCTATTGTGTAAGTACAATCGAAAAAAAGAAAAAAAAAATATATTTTTTTCCTGGATAATAAATTAATTCTTTTCTATTTAATAGATTTGTAATTGACTCTGCAGATCATGAGAAATTAGAGGCAGCAAGGACCGAATTACGCAGTCTTTTGGAAAAACCTCAACTTGCAAACATTCCAGTTCTAGTTTTGGGCAATAAGAATGACTTGGATGGAGCATTGCCAGTTGAAAGGATCATTGAAGAAATGTGAGAAAACTTTTCTTGAAGAAACATTTTTTGGGAAATTATTTAATATATTTTTTGTTATCATATAGGAATTTAAAATCCATCAATAATCGAGAGGTTTCTTGTTATTCGATCTCTGCAAAGAATCAAGTAAATATTGATATAACTTTACAGTGGTTGATTAGGAAGGGCAAAGGATCAAAATAAATGAATTAAATGAATAGTTTAAGGTTTGATTATGGAATTTTTTTTGTATGATTATTTTTTTTTATTTTCACATATTTGAAATTCGAATATTGTAGTTTTATAGGAATACGCCGCCTTTTCATTTAGGTTTCTAATATTATTAATTTATAAATAGGTTTTAACAATATTATGAGATTGGATAAAATATTTCATTTAATATTTGAGGTTTTTCATTCATTATTATTTTTGTCTTTACATCAAATATATAATAAATATATAATTATAATATTTAATCTTTAATTAATTCGTTAAAATTGTAATAAAACTTTTTTTATACAGATCATAAATTTGTTATTTTTAATGAATTTCTTAGAAAGAAGACTTTTCATATAGTTGAGAAAACATGTCACGTGAATGATATGTTATATAAAGTATATATTGTTTGAAATGATTCATTTTCAGATTTTCAGATCTTCGTATATAGATAGGGTTGCAATATCAATTGAGAAATTATTAAATGAAGAAATTTTCGATGCTCATGACGCGTCCGATCATTCAATGTTAACATTCTAGTGTTTAGTTTTTCATTATATGTTCGAACTTCATTTAAAAGTTATATTTTCAAAGAATACAAACTGAATGTCAAATTTTAAATCATTGCGAATAATTAAAACAAAAGATAAGAACTTGTTCCCAATCGGGTTAGATCGCTCGTTTTTTTTTGTTCCTCTCAATATTAGACCTACAAACTCAAGCATCGTATCACATCTCCTCAAAGTGTTACAAAAATTTTCCCTCGTGTTATTTATCCATAATGTGGAATTTGTGGCAAACGCGTTCTATTATTATTTTACGTGTCATTCCTAACTTTTTTTTTTATACATTTACTTTTTTTTTTTTTTTACCTCCTCATAACAACACGCAACTTTCTTTTATATCAAAACAAATCAATCTCACGCGAATGTACGTGCCTAATGATTCGTTATAAATAGCCTCTTCCTTCCTCCCTATCCTTTTTTCTTCATTACTCATTCATAAGACTCCTTTCCTAACAAAACGCATTTTTAACAATAATTTGACTTCCTTAATTCATAAATTCAATAAATTCACAAATTCACAAACAATTATAATGGCAAAAGAGAAGACAGCAAAAAAATCCGCCACTGGTAATATATGATTTAAAATTGATTCAAAATTTTTACTTTTTTATTTTTTCTTTAAATTTCTAAATAAAAAAATTAAAAAAAATTTTTTTTTCTTTTATTCTTTTCTTAGCCAAGAAACTTACACCATATAACAAGTTCATGAAAACTGAAATCATAAAAGTAAAGGCAGAAAATCCAAATCTACAACACAAAGAAGCTTTTAAAATGGTTGCTCAACGTTGGAAGGATTCGTGAGTTTTTTTTTTTTTTTGAATCTCTTTTCTCTCTTTTTCTTTCGTTTAATAAATTTTTTTTCTTCCTTTTTTAAAAGAGCCGAGAATCCTAAAAATCAAACTGCAAGTCAAAAGTAAAAAGGCGCCCGTTACTACTACTCTTTTCTTTACACGATTTTTTTATGTGACATTACGAAAAGAATATATTAAATGAATAATTTGAATGTAGTAGTAAAAGATATATATCATCCATGAACATTTTAATTTCTCTCCCCCTCTTTTTTTTTTCATTCGGTTTTAATTTTTGTTTCTTATATTACTTTTTTTTTTTACTACTTATACACTAATAAATCTTCAGTACGTAAATAACTCAAATATGTTATAAACAAAGGTTCCTTGATAAAATAAAAAATTTTAAATTTTAAATGTCAACTGCTTGATTCAATTCTTATATACATTGCGAATTGCGAATAAAAAAATAAATAAATCGAACTTAATTAAACTTTTCATTTATTAAATTTATCTTTTTAAATCCCCCGTGCATTATTCATTCCTCCTCCTCATTAGATCCTTCTGGAAATCCTTCCCAAACTTGATATAATCCTTCCAAATAGGCTTGAGAAGTTTTTAGACGGAAAGGATCGTATGGGAAGTACTCTTCCATTGATAAGATAGAATAATTTCTATTGTCTATATGAGTATACTCCTCGCAAGTCATAAACCCTACGGCTTTTGAAATGAAGGAAAACATCTTAACCGTATTTTTAACACAATACTATATATATATATTTTTCCATTAATTAGTAATTATGTTAATCAAAAAATCAATGAGTGATAATTTAAAACTTACTTTCAAAGGACAAAAAATTGATCCAATAATTTCCTTTAAATCTTCCGCTTCTTTGCTCCATATCTTCTTGTTTCCTACGTTGATTTCACAAAAGTTTTTCCACCGAAAACAAAAAATGTACATCGCCGTTTGTACAATTAGATAAAACTTTTCATGTTTCGACTCATCTGGAATACGAATGATGTTTTTATGAGTCATAACATACTCTGTTGCCCATTGTGTTAATGCGCGCATGCAGTAAATGACATCTTCAACATCTAAATATTTTGCACGGGCAATATATGATGCAACGTATTGTGCAGCAGCTTTTTGGATAATTCCCTTTCCTTCATCGTCGATTAATTTATGGAGAAGTAATTTGATGAATCGAAGTGCATACATTCTATCCAATGAGAAATACCAAAATGGTATAAATTGGATATATCGTGATTTGATAGTATATAATATAAATTTCTCGAATATCGTGAAGATAGTTTCGGTCAATTTCATTCGTTGTTCTTGAGTTCCGTTTTTATAAGAGTAGTCAAGGTAATCCAAAACCAGTTTGATAATACAATCTAATTTTTGGATTCCGTTTGCAATATCAACAGCAATAACGACAGGTGCGGAATCCTCGATATCCAAATCGAGAGATTCCGCGTTTGCATCATCATAATCTTCAAAATTGGGTCTTAATTTGTAAAAATCAGTCGAACTGTATCTAGTGCTGTAAAGGCCTACGTTAAATTCATCTAAACCTTCTTCCATATCTTCGATCTCATCGATTTGTCCTTGAACTTCGGTCTAAAACAACAGTCGAGTTCAATTAATATTAATAGATAAATATATATAACCTTTTTAACCAAACCGGATATAAATTAATTAATTACACATACGTCAAGTTCAATCATTCGTTCGAAAATTAAAGTTAAGATTTTATGTTGTAAGGAGGGTGTATACTCAATCAATTGCAGTAAATTTTTTACGTACACTATGTATGCTCCAAGAGATTCTCGTTTGTGCGGAAATCCCCTATATAATATATGAAAAAGTTCTTTTTCTCCCTGGGGAATCCTATGAACAAGATTTTTAATCGCATAATGTACCTTGCCATGTGCCTTTTCCATTTCTAGTACTTCAAGTTCTTTATCCTCCTCTGCGGAATATGATTTAGGAAAATTTTTAGAAAATCGTTTGTTAACATATTTTATCGCGCAAAAATACGATAAATCAAGAAACTTACTATAAAGAAAATTTTTGACCAACATTTCCAACATGGCTTCTGTACAAGACGGATAAGCTGCCACTAAATTGGTTAACAACATTACATATGCTATGGCCAAATTATTGTCATGATCTGCCCAATTTAAATTCAATAAAGTATAAACGAGATCTGAACAAGTTGCATCGAATTTATGTGATGTCCGAGAGAGGGCTAAACACCAAATCTTTAATTTCTTTGGATTTGGATTAATATTCGATGAATTGTTTATTTGACGAATTAGCTCATAAAAAGGGCCATTGTTGTCCTACATTAATATTATATAATTATCATAATTTCAATCATCCAATTCGCAAAATTTCATCGAAACAAAGCTACTACTTGAACCAAAATAAGTTTAATAATGAAAATACCTACCTCTTTCCTTTGTTTAATCGCCTCTTCAATGACACAAATCATCATTTTAAACTCTTGTTTCTGTATATCTAACTCGGTTTCCTGAGTTTTGTCAGTTGAAATCATCTTTTCAACTGGATTCGGGCGAGTTTCAATCGCATTGTAACGAGCAGCTTTTAATTTCATAGGTTTTGAAGCAGGCATGAAACTTATGATAATGATGATTCAACTACTAACAAAAAAAAAAAAATTTGGATCATTAAATAAAATTTCATTATATCACGTGAAACTTTTTTTGAACCAACCGCATACATTTTGAAAAATAAAGTTTTACCAATTTTATTTCTAGATATTATTAAATAACGACAATAAAATGATAGTAATTTTAATAAAAAATAAAACAATTTAATCGAATAAAATGAATTTTTAATAGATTTTTATAACACGTGACAATTAACCAATAATAATCACATATCAGCGGAAGAAATTAAATTTAAAATCTTTCGAGTGGGACAATTTAAGTTTTGATCATACATCCAATAATTAAGTTACAAAGATAATGAACTGGACGAATTTTGGGATAAAGTTACATTACAACTTCCTCTTTTAGAAAAAATAGCACGTAATTATATATGTTTTCTTGTGCGGTAGAAAGGAGTTTTTCCGCATATAATAAAATTTTAAATTGATAAATTTGATATCGGAATTTTTACGGGTCTCTGATTAAATCCATAAAATTTCACGTGACTTTTTATTATAATTACACCTGCTTTTTCGTTTACAGTTATATCTACAATTTACCTATTTTTTGAAATAAATACGATCTATTTAACCTCAATTTTATTTTTATTGTTTCCAACACTATTCTCAAAATCTCAAAATGGCAATGGCAGCAGCATCAGCGAAAAACCGGAACGTAAGTATAATGTCACCTATAGCTTATTTAGTGAGTTTCTAACAGTAATTCTGCTATTAGGCCCGGTTACCACCCGAGGTAAATCGAGTATTATTTGTGAGAAATCTTCCATTTAATATTACTTCTGAAGAAATGTACGATATTTTTGGAAAGTATGGTGCAATACGTCAAATTCGGCTGTAAGTTTTTTTTTTTTCTTCATTCAGGGCCTTGTCATAAATCAATACGATTATCTTACGAGCTTTCTATTGTAGAGGATGTGAAAAAGATACACGCGGAACAGCATTTGTAATATATGAAGATATATTTGATGCGAAAGCTGCTTGTGATCATCTTAATGGTTTCAATGTTATGGGTAGATATCTTATTGTACTTTATTATCAACCTAATAAAGTTACTAAAAAGATGAACCTCCAGAAAAAAGAAGAGGAACTAAGAGAATTGAAGAGGTTAAACTTATAACTTTTTATTTTTTTAATTTGAATCCAATTATAACCAATTAATTAAATAAATTCTTCCTTTATTAGTCGATATGGAATACCTGATCAGGATTAATTTGACTAAGAAACTAAAAAAAAAAAGAATTACGAGAATTATAAAGTGAGACAATTAAATTTATGTGAATAATATAGCCAGTATACTATTTTCATATACTGCAACGTACCCTTTTAACACTTGCACACAAATATAATATTTCTTATAATAAGACGAATAAATTAAATTCCAGATAGATCGATCTAGTTCAATGTTGAATATCATCCCATTCTCTCCCTTTAACTTTTGACAAATCTTCTTTGGAAGGAACTCTTCCACCACTAAAGTATCCGTCCGCAATTTTTTGCATCAATTTCAACTCTAATAAAATAAGGGTTCATTAGCATCTTCAAATCATGATCATCAAATAAAAAAAAGTATATAAACTACCGGGAATCTGATGGAATCAACTCATCGGGAATTGGTACGCGTTCATGAATAGCAATTCCAGAACCAACGATAGCCTCGTATTTCATATTTGACATTGACATCATTCGATCAATCTTAGTAATACCAAGCCAATGCAACACGTCGGGCATCAACGCTTGAAACCTCATGTCTTTAACACCGGCAACAATTTCTTTAAAAACAAAAATTTTTCTTTAGATTAATTTTAAAAATGACATTCGTTAAATGTATTCAATAAAGATACCTGTTCGCAGGAAGTAATTATCGGCAGTATCCCCTTCCGCGGAACGTTTACGGGCGTTATACACAAGATATTTCGTGACTTCACCTAGAGCGCGTCCTTCTTTACGGACTTTATAAATCACGCGATTAGAAAAGCGTCGTATTATTTGATCGTAATTCATTATAATATTTAACGCTTACAGTAGACTATAACTCCGGATCCGCCATTTTGAGCTTCCTTCAAACATTCTTCCATACCGAAAATCAAGTATGGACGACAAGTACAAATATCTGATCCAAACACATCGGATCCATTACATTCATCATGTACTCGCACCGTCAATTTCTTGGAGGGATCGCTTACATTTTTGGGATTTCCAAAGATATAAACTGAAAGACCTCCAATTGGAGGCAAAAAGACTTTAAGATCTGGCCGTGTAATTAATTCTGGATACATTCCACCAGTATCTTCAAAAAGTGCTCGACGTAATAATCCTTCATCAATACCAAATCGTGCAGCTACACCTGGCAAAAACCATACAGGCTCAACTGCTGCCTTTACGACATTTAACTCTCCTCCATCTAACACAACTTTGCCATCGACCTTTAATTTTCCTTCTTTAACATGATTTTCAATTTCTGCCAGCTTCATATGTGCTTTAGTAATGGCAATAGTTGGGCGAATATCAATTCCTTGAGAAATTTGATTGGCAAAGCACGTCGTTGTAAGATGACCAAAGGGATCCAACGAGACAATTTTATCTGGACTTCCCCATTGTGGATGAGGACCTATTTTTACCGAAGGTTCAGTATTTTTAAAGTCAGGTTGGTGATTTGGGTCAAGTGCTCTCATAGCGACTGCTAAGGCACGATAAACACAATATGAACCTCCGTAAGCGCCAATAGCATTACTGCGTAAATAAGTTATTGATTAAGTAAATGTTATTGATTAACTGAAAAAAAATAGTTGTTACATTAAAAAAAAAAAAGGAAATTTATATATTATATAACATACCGGATCTTGATACTTTTAGGATGACGAGAAGCTACAATTGGACCGCGAGTGATTGGTTCCAATTCACCCCATTTAAGAGAGATAGGCTTGATACCAAATTGATCAGGATATGCTATAAATGAATCACAAAGAGATCTTTAACATATAATTATAAAGCGAAAACACGAATTGAATATAAAGGTCCTTACTTGTAAGTATTACTCTGTCACTATATATTGGTTCTCCAGTTGAACTTATACTAGGTACTGGACCTGCTTTCGGCTGTATTTCGTTTTCTACAACTATAATACAAAAGTAAGATATTTGTAACTATTCAAAAAAAAAAAAAAAAAAATTCGCACGAACCCACCTTTACTTGTAATTATGGTTGTTTTGGAAGTATGTGTCGCGGGATCAAGTTTTTCTTGAAGTTTTTTCAGTTCTTCATTATTCTGAGCTTGGTACAAATCAAACTAAAAAGAAAGAAATATTTTAATATATAGATCCAGGTTAAAATATTCAGTCCTGATAAACAAATACCTTGGAAGCTAATAATTCTTGATCTTTCTTCAGGCCATCAACAGATTCCAATATCTTTTGAAGTAATGTTTCATTTATGTTGGGAGAATCATGGGTCGCCATTTATGTTTGTTTCTTTAGTTTTGAATAAAAAGTTTTCTCGGTGTAAATTTTCGTTATCCCAAATTTGTTAATCGGTTTAATTAATATATATGCATTAGTCAACTTTTCGCACGGTCGTCGTCATTCGATTGGTTGCATTGAGTAACTGTTTAATAAGGATCTTAGTCCGGTTTTTAGACCGGTCTTAGGTTCGATTTTTGAACTCAAATATTTAGTTACGAAATGTCTTGAGATAAGACTAAAGAAGCGTCATTTATAGAATTAAACAAGCATTATGACAGCGGAAGCTTAATTATTGTTTTTAATATTTATTAATAACGCAACAATGGAACCTTTGAATAACTACGTTTACTGATTCTTTCGTTGATTCAGTAAAAGAGCTTTAATTATTGACTTCAGTTCCTGGATATTTTGCCACTTCGTGGCAAAATCCACCAATCAAATTATCCGGGTACGGCACCGTCAAAGTATTATAATTCAATGTGACCGCACATCAATCGAAAATGTTAAAGATTGGCAACAATGGTTTGCATAACGCATCATTTTATCGTCTATTTCCCAACGTGAATGATCAAAATCTGGATTTATTTTAAATACATATTGGAATCAATGCTAGGAAAATCAGGTTCTGGGGATGTATTAAGTTAATAGATTAAAAATGTAATAAGAATTCTCAGAACCTGATTTTCCTAATCTTCCCATAATCAAAATTTTTCGAAATATCGGGCAAAAGAGCCCATTTAGGTAAACTTTTCAAAGTACTCTAATTTAGCCACCAGTCTCCGATTGGCTGGTATAATTATTTGTGACATCCATAGCGTGACAAATAAACCTAACCCACCGAAAAAATTCTCTCTCAAAAATATATAATAAAAATTGAAAACATCACCAGTGTCACGCCGGTGACAAATCACCAACCCTAACCCTAACCCTAGCCAAACTTTCTAACCTTAACCCTAACTAATCTCAATTATACCAGCCAATCATAGCGTGGGGGGGGGGGGTAAATTAGTAAATCCTCAAAATAAGGGACAATTAAGTATCAACTCAATTTATGAGCGGACAATATAAATAAATCGACACGTGACGGACCGATTCAAATCCTGATCGGTCACAGGGACGATGATTTTTTGTGGTGATATAAAGTAAATTTTGTGTGTGATAAAAATAAATTCTGTGAAATTTTGTGATTTGGCCGGATTTAAGCAAGGTTGGCCAACATTACGACTCGTAAATTCTGCCCAAATTTAGTGTTTACCGGAATTACAATGATTGCAAATCCTAAATTAGGCCAAAAACTTGAACCAAATTTTGTGATTTTCTGTGAAATTCTGTGATCACAATAAATCATTGTCCCTGATCGGTCATATGATCTGATCGCGTCTCCCTGACATCCCAAACGTTAATAATGTTTTTCGGTTTCGTCAAAACTGAATACGTTATCAAACATGTCCAACATTCACGCTTCCAATCACCCTTTAGTCGCTCATAAGATATCTATTCTTCGCAATAAAAATATTAAACCAAAACAAGTAAGAGAACTTATGCATGAAATTGGTCAACTTCTTGCGTACGAAGCTACTGCCGACTTACCTGTTAAATCTGCAGAACCTGTAAGTTTAAAATTTCGAAATTACAATAAAATACAGTGTATTTTACCGTAATATTTAATTATTTGATGATTATGACATGTTTTGTTCTCATAGCAACAAAGTCCCCTGAGTACATATCCGGTAGTTCAATTGGCACATAGAATAGGACTTGTGCCTATATTGAGATCTGGTCTTAGTTTTGTCAATGGTATGAATTTTCTCATTATTAGAATTTACTTAATCATCTATAAGAATTTGATTTATTATTTTTTTTTTAAAAAAAAAGCCGTGCAAGAATTGCTTCCAACCGCTAGGGTTTTACATCTTGGAATTTTCAGAGAAAAGTTATCACTTCAACCAGTAGAATATTATAACAAATTACCCTCAGAACCCAATGTTGATCAAGTTATAGTCTTAGAACCAATGATTGCCACAGGAGGAACCGCTACCGCTGCAGTCAGCATTCTAAAAGATTGGGGAATAACATCAACGATTAAATTCATTACGGCAGTAGCTTCTCGTCAGGTAATCTAATTGTAAAGCACCAATTGGAGGAAAGAAAAATATTAAACTCTTTATTTTAGGGTCTCGATAAACTTCATAAAAAGCATCCAGACGTAGAAGTTTTCGTGGGTGTAATCGATGAAATTTTGGATAGTAATGGGTAAAGAATTCATATAATAATATCGCTCTAAATATTAGTAGATACTTTCGTGAAATTAACACATTTTCATTTCATTTCATTTTAAGTTATATTGTGCCTGGATTAGGTATGACTTTTGATTTGATATTGTTCTTATATGAATGAATCCTTCGCTTAAAGGGTTTGATTTTAATTTTTTCTTTCTTTTAGGTGATGCCGGTGATAGGTTACATGACACGCCAAGTGCATAATTAAATTAGATAATGGTATTGACGTCATATATATTTTTGATATTTAAAGCGAACTTTTTTTATTATTTTTTTTTTAAAATTTTTTTTTTTTTCTTATTTTAGGTTTGATTCAGATAATTAATACAATAAATTAATTCTTTCATTAATTAATTAGCATTAGCGTTGTTAAAATAACAAAATTTTGAATTGACATGATAACTGAAATTGTCCATTTCTCGTAGGAAAAAAAAAAAAAAACATTATTTCCCTAAATTATTTTCTTTTCTTTCCCTTCTTTTTGGAAGGTGACGATGTTGAACCACTAACTGAATTAGATTGACCACTACCGGCAGCAGCAGTAGCCAAAGAACTTGAACTAGTACTAGCTCCACCAATATCACCACCACCTTTTCCTTCTTTTAATACACCACTAAAGGTTGCAGGAGAATGACTTGGTGGAAATTGTTGTGGATTAATTTTTTGAATTTTTGATAATTCTAGCGATACCTTTTTAATCAATTCCTTACCTAAAAAAAAAAAAAAAGAAATAATGTTTTCGATTTTTTTCTTAAAAATAAAAATATTAATAATACAAAAATGGTAAAGTTTTATTAAAACTTACGATTTGAAACTTCTGACCTAAAGGGTCTTTTATTTTCGGTAAATAATTGTACGCGTACTCTACCAGGATTTTCCCAATCACGAGGGTGTGTTTTATGTGGCTAATTATTACAATAAGATTTTATAAAGGAGTCCTATTAATTATAAAGATTTTTACTTGTATAATAATACCTCATATAAACTATTTAATCCTATATTTTTAACAGCTTCAGCGACATCTTTTGCTAAAGGATGTGGAGAAGCAATATCTTTGATAACTTTTCTTCCTTGTTGCACAGTTTTTGTTGAATCGAAATAAACAGGATATAAACATATCCAACTTTACAAACAAATAACAAACACATTAATGAATTTAAGGTTAATGATTGATTTTTCTCGAGAATAAAGGTGTATAATATATAATTACGATTTATATGCACTACTATCGTCTGTAGGTATTCTTGAAAATTCGGGTAAATAATCTGGTGGGTCATCATCATCCAATTCCATCATTGGAATTGTAGGAAACATGTTTGGAGGATTTTGTTTTTTTGAACCTCTTGGCATTATTATTTACAGAGAAAAAGAGAAGAGAGAGATGGAGGAAAGGAAATTTTTTTTTTTTTTAGAAAAAAATTTGCATTTAAATTTAACTACCCAATGAAATTCGGGTACTACATTAACTCGGAATCTGAGAACACGTGATTACCAATTTTGATTTTTACAGTTTCATTCTTTTTAAAGCAATAATATCTTTCAAATTACTAAAATTACCTAAGAGAATCAACTAATCAACTAATTAGATACATTATTATTTAAGAAGTTTTACCCAAAGCAGCTTGAAGTGCTTCATAAACCTCTACTTCAATTTTAGCTACTGCCTTTTCTTCTTCTGTGGAAGCTGTTGAAGCTACACGTTGTGCTTCTGCTAGGTTTGTTCTAATGGCCTAAATAAAAATTTGTTTAAATAAAATTTATAAACGAGAATAAATACATAAGGTCGAATAAAAAATTTCGGTTGTTGAAATTTTTTAAATGATCCAAGAATTTACCTCAGGTGAAAATTCATCCAAAGGAAAAGCTTCAATCGCATTGATATCAAGTGATGAGTTGGGATTGACAATGGCAAATCCTCCGCTAACTAAATAAATTTTAAGTAAAAGGATTTTGAATCACAAAAAAAAAAATGATAAGATAAAAAAGACTTTTTATTCAGACAATACACAATACGTTATATACACACCAAAGTATTTTTTACTTGTATTAGGATTTTCTAATATCTCAATAACACCTGGTTTCAATTGTTCAATGGATGGGACATGATTTGCTAGAATACCCATATCTCCCGCAGTCGAAGCAATGTTTACTTGTTGCACTTCAGCTTTTGAATAAATTGTCTAAAAAAATTGAATGAATTAAAAAGGATTCAAATAGTAATCTAATAAAAGAAAAAGTAATTTCTTAATGCTTAAATTTTTACCTGGTGAGGAAGTGCAAAACTTAAACGTAGTCTATCACCTGAACCAGCCGGTGCTTCAGTAGCATAATAGCGAACTGATAATAAAAACGAGCTTAATAATAATTCTTTAAAAATTTCAAGGCAAAAAAAAAAAAAACGTAAAGAGCGAAAAGTACCTGCCTGAGGTGCAAGGCTTAATACGGAAGGCAGCTCTGGCAGTTCTGGCTAGAAAGCTCATTTTAGTTAACTATTTGGAAAGGTATTTGAAATTTTTTTTTTATTTTACTTTTTTTTTTTTTTTTGGAAAAATTAAAAACCTGATTTCACGTGATTTATTTGATTTACATGGTGAGTCAAAATTTCAATTAAACGCGTCCCTCGAAAAGTTCTACTGTACTTTATAATGAGTTCATTCTTTCAGAAGCAAGGTGTCACCTACACTAGGTCTGCAAAAGTTTCTAACTCAAACTTACCATGGATCGAAAAATAGTAAGTTAAATGTATTAATATCTAATTACTTTATACATTTAATATAACTTTTTATTTTTTTAAAAAAAAAGTCGACCCAAGTCCTTAGATAATATAAGTGCTCAAGAAGAGACTTTAATGACTTTGAGAAATTCCAAAGATAATGTAAGTACCAAGATTTAGTTATAATCTAATTTTATTTAAAGACTTACATATCTTTATTTTAAGTTACCTCACATGTTATTTTACGGGCCTCCGGGAACTGGGAAAACTTCTACGATCTTGGCGCTTGCACGCGAACTTTTCGGGTACTAATTATAATTCGTGCATCAATTAACCATTAAATCGAAATAACGAATCATTAATCTTGTATAGTCCAGAATTGATGAAAACTCGTGTTTTAGAATTAAATGCCTCGCATGAGCGTGGAATTGATGTGATTAGAGAAAGGGTAAAGAACTATGCTCGATCATTTATTATTAACGATATTAATAAGTAATGCGTTTATGAACTTTCATTTATTGACTTTTGCATTTTGGATGAGCTTTTTATATTAATCATTTTGATTTACAGAAAAGGTCCAGGGTTTAAAATTATAATCTTGGATGAAGCAGATTCTTTAACAAAAGACGCCCAAGAAGCTTTGAGACGCACGATGGAAAAGTATTCCGAACTTACCCGGTTTTGTCTCATTTGCAATCAAGTATCTTGGTTGGTTGGTTTTAATATAAACATACTTTATGCTATTCGTTTCATTTAACGTATAATAACGCGATATTTTAGCATTATTCCAGCGCTGAAATCTCGTTGTACATTGTTTCGGTTCAAGAACATTGGCACTGAAAATATGAGAAATCGTCTTGCTTATATTTGCGAGCAGGAAGGAATTAATTATCATCAAGAGGTATAATTTCTTTTGAAATTGTTTGCGCGGAATTAACATAGAGGTATAAATATGGGAGTGTTTCTAGGAAAATCAGGTTCCGAGAAATTTTTGACTAAAATTAAGAGCTTAATACATTTTAATATAATAACATCAAAAACTAAAATGCAATAAAAATCTCAATTTCGCTAAAAAATTCCCGGAACCTGATTTTCCTAGCAATCAACCCATATGGTATAAATATATATGATAAGAAATTTTTATGTAATTTATTTAGACACTGGATGAATTGATCAAAGGCTCTCAAGGAGATCTAAGAAAAGCGATTACTTGGCTTAACAATGCATCTAAACTTCACATAAATGATAAAGTCACGGTCGAAACAATCAAAGAAACTGCCGGTGTATGTAAATTTTTACGTTGTCTTTTTTTTTTTTCAAGTGAATATAATTATTCTTACCTTTTATCGTAGATTGTACCAGACGATGTAATTAATGGTTTAATGGAATGTGCTGCGAGCAAATCTTATGACACGATTCAAGAGACTGTTAGCGACGTTATTGCATCCGGATATTTTGCAAAGCAGATAATAGAACAGGTAATGTTGTACCATGCAATTTTTTTTTACCGCAATAATGATTTATTAATATTAATTTATGACTTAGGTTTTCTTTCAAGTTCTCAAAGATTTACGATTTAATGAAAAGCATAAATTTAATATAGGAGAAAGTTTAGGAATAATAGACAAACGCTTGGCTGATGGTGCCTGTGAACTTTTCCAAGTTCTTTCTTTGATGTGTACAATTTCAGAAAATATGGATTAAAAAAGATGAGACATAACATCATAGGAAATTACCACAATATTACAAGTTAGTTTTAAAAGAAAATGTCCTAAAGTAATTTATTATATTTTCAGTCTCATTGTGAACTCTGTTATATATATACATACGTACCGTTTTTGCCTTCTTTATTATTGTTTACTTTCAAGAAAACTTAGATATTTCTCTGGCGATCTTAAATATATGCATTGAAAGTTTGATGCTTTTTTTGATCACGCGGGCGTATGTGAATCTCTTCTTGAGGGGAAATAATGAATTGACAAATATTCGTTAGATTATTTGTCTTCCTATCAAATCTTTCAATTTTTCTCATAAAATAATTTGTTATGAGTTCTTCTAAACAGAATCAATTAAACTCTTGGCATATGAGTCAAAAAATTTAATTTTATACTGTTAAACTTTCTTGATAAACTGCAACAAATATACGGGGATAAACCCAACGAACGATTATATTTCTGTTTAACATCATTATCCCCACTCTACAAATTTAGTATGAAGAAGTTAAGGTTAAACGTGCTGAAATTCTACCTTATGCTATTCAACATTTATTAATCACCTTATATATAAAAAATTTGATCTATATAGTAAGCTTATTACTATTTTAAAACTATTAAACGTTATATACTATAATTTTTGCAATTAAAAGTTTACTCAAAGTTTAAATTTCAGAATTTATTCCTAAAAATGTTAAAATTTATTATTTTTACGATACTAGAAATGAACAACCTATAAAACTTATATAATCAAACTTTAATATATAATTTTTTTTTTTTTTTAATAATTGTTTTATTTTAAAAAAATTTATTTATGAAAAAATATTTTTCTATATTTTTTTTCAGTTTAAATAATATAATATAAAGTTCAAATTATTATAGTTAAACTATTATTTAAAAACATAATAGATTCAAATATTATTAATCCGGAACGTTTAGATGTTCGCACGCTCAAATTTTTTTTTTAGTTAAGATCGTTCCGGACTTAACAACCCGTTTCCTAGTATATATAATTTAGAATGATATTTAAATTAAAACCGAAACCGAAAAATTAAATTAAATTAGAAAATAGCAAAATAAACTTAATTTAAAAAAAAAAATTTTTTTAAATAAATTTTTTTAAAAAAAAAAAAAAGATCGACCGCAGAATGCCCGCCGTTCTCAGACGCGACCTATTAAAAGGGGAGCCCGCCGTTCTCAGACTATCCGCGACCTTACCAATATAGGTTTTGATAAGCTTATATAGGGTTAAATTTTGGTGATTTTCAAAATTATGGGATTCAAAATTCTATATAAATAGGTCATTTTTTAAACTGATCGTCAATTTTAAATCAGGTGACTTCAGGGAAAATTTTGTAGGGAGAATTAAAGTGTCTAGGATTATGCCAAATTATGCTAAATTATGCGTTTATAATTTTGGCCAAAATTATTAAGTTAATTTATAATTTAAAAAGGATTTATTTAATATACCGAAATTGTAAAAACTTTATTTATAACTATCAAACGAAATAAATTTAACATAATAATAGATTCTTTAGATAATTGATATCTTCTATCACTTAAAATATTTTTGTAAATAGAAAAATTACGTTCAACATCAACACCTGAAACTGAAAGCCAAATATAAATTAATGCTATATTAGCTAATGTTGGTAAGATAATTTTTTTTCTATCCAATAATTTTCTAAATCAAAATCCTCTTCTAAATTAATTATTTCATTAAGATTACTATAAATTCTCCATTCTTGAATTAAATTTAAATTTGAAATTTTAAATTCAGGTATAATGAAATATAATAAAATATTAGTTCTTTCTACTTGAGAATGAATATACTATGGATCAAAACATTGAATAGCTTCAAAAAATGGTAAAACTGAATAATTCAAAATATGTTTTTCAAAATTTTATAATGCATTTTTAAATACATTAACAAAAATATCTGTAAAATAGTCAACACTAACTTGTTCTACTTGTAATTTTAATTTTATTTCTTTTAATAATAATAGATACATTATCTCAAATTTTAATAATACATGTGTTTCTTTTACATATAAAGTTACATATAGAACTATAAGTTACTTGTGAATCTTGAAAATTTTCAAATTAATTACTAATCTAAAAATAAAATTTAATTTAATTATTTATTAGTATTAATAATAAATTTATTAAATTAAATAAATAATCATATCTTTGAAATAAAGAAAATCAATAAAATATTTTAAATATTATTATATATATAGTATTATTAAAATAATTATATATATTCTATACTAGTTTACTATCATAAATATAAAAAAAGATGTCAAATATAGAAGATATTTTTTAATCAAAAAATAAAATTAAATCATAAATTTCACTTTGTTTTGATAGGAAGAGAAGATAAAGTAAGTTTAATAGATAAATTTGAATTATTTTGAATTAAAAAAGGTAAAGTAGGAAATTTAATAGTATTTAAAGTAAGATAATTAAGCTATCTATTTTTTTGCATTGAAGAATAAGTAAAAGAAGTTTAATATTTAAAACTATATCATTAATAATATAAAAATTTTGATTTTTAATCCAAAGTTTTTCCAACCAAATTATAAATATGAGCTAAATAACAATTATGTTTTATTTGAGGTATAATAATAAGTAGTATTATCTAAAATAAATAAAATAATATTTTCAAAAGAAATTAAATAATCATTAAGGATTTTAATAATAAGTTAGAAAATTTGTAATATTATTTACTATAGTAAAGTGATCAGTTATAATCAATTTAATATAGTTTTTAAACTAATAAAATATTTACAGCTAAGTTTTTACAAATATCAGTTGATTTATCAACTATAATACTGATATATTTTTTTTTTAATTGATTAATTGTTGCTTTTTCAAATTGTAAACTATAGGTAAATACTTTTCTCTTTATTAATTTGATTTTACAATAGCATCACCTAAAAATTTAATTATTATTAAAAAATATAAATATTATTATTATTAAATATAACATTTAATTAAAATTATATACTTTTTAAAGAATATTTAAATAAAAATAAAAGTAATTTATCTACTTTTCTAATAGAATATCTACCTCTGCTAAAATTTTAACCAAATCACAATTAATTTAAACTTTATTAAATATAAATTACTGAATAGTTTCCAGTTAAAATCCTTTATAATTTATTATAGCTATTTTGCATATTTTTTTATGTTTTTTAGATTTAAGTATACTTTTTTTTATGGTCAAGAAGTTCTTTACATAAACAGCAAAAAAGTTTAGCTTTTTCTACATAAATATTATTTTTGTATTTAAGTTCTTTTGCACGTTAAGTTATACTTTTTGTCATGATTGATCAAATTATTAAAAATAATTAGCATCTGATAAAAGATTAGCAATTAAAGATCTTAATAACCAATAAAAATTGAAATTATTACTGCAGATTATGCAATTATGTGATTATACAGAATTTTCTAAATTATATGAAAGCATAATGTTATGCATTAAATTTAATATTATGCATATATTATGTTATAATATAATTTTAAATACTCTAGAAAGAATGACTTATATAGTGCAGATCAGCATATAAATTTAAACCAAAAATCATATACATAACTTGTACTAAAATAGAAAATTAATGTATATGTTACATAATATTTTTTTTTTTATAATAATTTATCTATTTTAATAATGATTTGTATATATTTTATATTATGTAACATGTGCACAAAAAATTTAATGTGTATATGTATACATAATGCACATAAAATTTATATACTAATATAGATCATTTAAAGTCAAATAGTCTGAATTTATTTTGCTAATCAAATTTATCTTATATCATTACCAAAAGTTCTACTTCACATGATATTTGGCTAATATTATGACATTAAGAAATTAATTATGTGATAAATAAAAGATAATAAATATGATTTTACATTCTGAAAAAATTCTAAGTTCTCAGAATACTTATAAAAATAGAAAATATAAAGGATATTATGTAAGATGACAAATATTTCTATAATTATGTAGGAATAGAATTTTTAATAATAATACTAAAAAAGATGTTGATCATAACTATATTATATGATCTTTATCTAATCAAAATGAGTACATAATTAACTTATTATATAATTTGATATTAAAATTATTGATTTATTAATCATAAAAATTTTAAAATATTATTTAATTTATTTTATTTAATTCCTTTCTTATCCTGATTTGTATTTTTTAATATAGTTTTTCTTTTATTAAGTTAAAACTTAAAAGAATTTTAAGGATTAAAATCTAAAAAAATAAAAAAAAATCTATTAATATCATGTTATAAATTTTTATATAAAAACATTCATTTTATTAAACAAAATTAATGTAACATAATAAATCTTATATTTGAAATTTAAGCATTTATAAGAAAATTATCAATTTTTAAATATCTAAAACTCAAAATTTCTAGTTAATTAAAGATTCAAAACTGTAACTTTTATTTTCTATTATCTATACTATCATTATTATAGATCATTTTTCTCTTATAATATGTAAAATAAAAGTTTTAAAATTTTAAAGTTAATGATTTTATTTTTAATTATAATTGATCTGTACTATATATAATTAAAATTACATAGTATAAATAAAATAACACAATCATTTTTTGCAATATAATATATTTATTTTATTTTATTTTTTAGAAACCATCTAATTAATAATATTATATACATTAATACATATTCAAAA